CGTCTTGTTTTTCTTGTTGTCGTCTGGCTTCTTCGTCTTGTTTTTCTTGTAGTCGTCTGGCTTCTTCGTCTTGTTTTTCTTGTTGTCTTCTAGCCTCTTCTTGTTGTCGTCTAGCTTCTTCGTCTTGTTTTTCTTGTTGTCGTTTGATCTCTTGAAGTTCCAACATTTTGCGCAGGAGTTCTTCAACTTTTTGTTCGTCCATTTTGGCTTGTTGTCTTGTGATAGGCATATACAGAATGTTCTAGAATTTCCCTCGAACTTTCTTCAAATGTCTTTTCTGGTCTGTGCTCGAAGTGCCAACACGCCGGTGAAGTCACAAATTGGATAACTTGCTTTATTCGCGAATAGAATGTTCTGGAATTTCCTTGAAATTTCTTTTCTAGATGTCGATTGATACAGCAAACACGTCGGTGAAGTCACAATTTCGATATCTCCCTTGGTTTCCAAATAGAATGTTCTAGAATTTTCCCGAAACTCCTCGAAAAACCTCTTCTGAATGACGATTGATGTTCTGAATACGTCGGCGAAGTCACAAATTCGATATCTCCCTTAGTTTCCAAATAGAATTTTCTAGAACTCACTCGAAGATTCACTATCACAGTCTAAATCGGGTATAGAGTCACTTCCAGGGTAATTCACACGATCGGTTGAGTCTCTTTTTGTGATTGTCACTGTTTGCACTGCACTAACTGTCCCAGTGTTCACTTAGTGTTCAGTTTTTACACTACACTAGTGTCCCCGCACTTCCGCAATTGGATTTCACTCTGCAGTCCTTTATATCCTACTTCTGGCACCAATGTCGCGGCTTTGGGTTGCCTGACAGAAATCTTGGGTTCGTTGTTCGTTTCGTTTATTCCAAAAATCAAAGTCAATTAACACAGCAATAATTTATTCCCCTTAACAAAACACTCTGACACTAATTAGTTTATTAACAAACTCAACAATTAAACTCTTTACAATCACTATTTAAATCGTATCACACTCGAACTGAAACTTAACTAACTTACAAACCAATGCCGGCCTTCTTATATATCCCTAAATCTATTCCTGTAAAATCTAGAATACACACGAGAATTTCATACATCTGTCAAAACTGGTATTCCAACAATAAATTGACATGTTTTGATTGTTAATTTGAACCAATCAGATTGTAATCACGCGATAATTTGCACTAGTGCAAATTATCAGATAATTGCATAGTAACTGGTGCGAAAACTGGTGTTTTGACATTTTTTGACAAAAAATTTAAATTTTTGATTTATGAAATTCTCTCATTAAGGAATTTACCCCTCTCCTGAGGGTAGAAACCACCCCCAACTTTTTTTTTTCAAATGTAAAGATATGTATTGTGATAGCTCGTTGGAATGGGCATAAAAAAAGGAATATGACCCATTATTTCTTGATGATTTTAACTGTAAAAAAATTGTGTGGAAAAATATGTTTTAATTTTTTTCTCGCTTCCTAGATCACCGAAATCCAAAGTAAATAATGGGTCATTTTTAGGGTTTCATCGAGACGAGAAATCTCGTCTCGAAGGCAATTTCTCGTCTCGTCTCGATCATCGAGACGAGAAATCAACAAATTCTCGTCTCGATGTTTTTCTCGAAGACAATTTCTCGATCTCGATTCGAGATTCTCGAAATTTCGAGAGTCTCGAAAACAAAAACTGAATGTTATTAAAATATTATATTATATTATATATATGGGTTTATCATTAGAAATAGTAAGTACTTCTCAAATGAATTTACTTTTAAACTCTTGTATTTCACTTTTGTTAGGTCCAAGCTTGAATATGGTGCACAATTGAAAATGTTCAAAGAAAATTTTTAAAGTATGTAACATTCAGATTAGATGGGTCATATCCTCCCAGAGAGGCATTGAACATTGCCAGTATTTACAACGATTCAATATAGAATCGCTTTCAGTTAGAAGAAAAGTACTGGGTGTTAAGTTCTTGTATAACCTCCTACACAATGTAATTGCACCTTGGTACCTCGCTATTGGCTGGGATTCAGTTTCGGGTTCCACGTCTGGTGGGGAGGTATGACTCAACGTTTCACTTGGGTAGGGCAAGGTCAAACATCTTAATGCAATGCCCACTATATTTTGTGTGCTCTGTATTCAATGGTATTTCAAGTGTGTGCGATATTAATGAGGACCGATTGTCAAGAATCATCGTTGCTTTACTGAACAGTTAATTTTTCTCTCTATTTTTGTTATTATTATTATTGATTGTTATTTTTAATATTATTATTAAGACTGCACTAAAAGAAAGGGGAAAACGTTTTCTAGAAAGACTGTTTTCAACAGCAACACTGACCATTAGAAAAGAACGAAGCCGATTAACTGGAGAATCGGCTAAATTTTTGATGTGTTTGAATTCTTGGCTATGTAACAAAGAAATATTCACGAGTTTATAAACAATAATTTCGTTATCAGTTAAGAAACTTTTTTTTATATTGGAATGTTATGCTATCTATATTTTTCTTATGTTTTGTTAGTTTTTGGGTGTTTGAAGTTAATTTTTGTTTAATAAACTACTCAACAATAGAAGATTTCATTATGAATGACTTTGGCAGAAAGTCGACAAACAAAGTCACATAACGTATAAATAGCATTATCAATGTAATTATTTTTTTTTTCAATTTTAGGCTTAAATTTAATAATTATGGCAGTTTTGGGAGAACGTGATATGTTTTATCAAGAGGCGATGAAACGATTTGTGTTTGGTGATTGTAAAAGTGATAGTCGAACGAGTTCCATTAAATTAACGACCCCATTTGCCTCTACTGGAGTTTTAGGTAACACAGCACTTTCTGTTAATTTTATCAAACGTTTTGCAACCAAAGAAGCCATTGCGAATGCATCGAATACTTACGAAAGCGTAGATTTGACAAGATGCTGTGTTACCTTAAACTCCAGTGGAGGCAAATGGGGTCGTTAATTTAATGGAACTCGTTCGACTATCACTTTTACAATCACCAAACACACATCGCTTCATCGCCTCTCGATAAAACATATCACGTTCTCCCAAAACTGCCATAATTATTAAATTTAAGCCCAAAATTGAAAAAAAATTAATAACATTGACAATATGCTATTTATAGGTTATGGTTATGTGACTTTGTTTGTCGACTTTCTGCCAAAGTCATTCATAATGAAATCTTCTATAGGTTCGTTCCAAGCATAAATTTGACCAATTTTTGAGACGCGACCACTTTTTAATAAATTAACGGAAAAATATGCAGTTTTCACCATTTTTGAAAGCGATTCCTTGTTAATCATCTATTTTACACAGAAAAATATAGAATTTGAGTATTTTTTTTTTTATAGGTACAGTGTGATATAGGGACGGGGGAAAAATTCAAAATTTAGTTCAAGGGTCTTTTTTTCTTTAAGAATATGGAAAGATCAATTTTTTGCTTTTGTTATTTGCTTTGTTATCTTTGTTTTTTTTTTTGTTAATTTTCTTATGTTTAAAATGAATTAAAATTATTTCGTATTTCCTAACATAGTCTTTTATTTTCGCTTTGCAGACCTATAAGAGTTGTCTGTGCTATAGGTATTGCAGCACCTACATTTTTTCGAGATCGAGAAATCTCGAAAATTTCTCGATCTCGAACTGTTTTTCTCGATCTCGTCTCGAAAAAAAAATGTTAAGTCTCGTCTCGATCTCGTCTCGAAATCGAGACGAGACGAGAAATCTCGAATTTCGAGAATCTCGTGAAACCCTTAGTCATTTTCCTTTTCTTATGCCCATTCCAACGAGCTATCACAATACATATCTTTACATTTGAAAAAAAAAGTTGGGGGTGGTTTCTACCCTTAAGAGGGGGGTAAATTTTATGAAAAGGCCGAAAAAATGTGCCAAACTAAAAATAAAAGGACCCGTTTTTTTTTATTTTTCCAGAAAATAAACAGGCTTTCTGATACTAATTTTATTCCGTTTAAAAATTCCACCCTGTATAATATCACAAGAGAAAAAAAATTGTCGGCAAAATTTTCGAAAGGTATGAAAATTTGTTGCTTGGCAATTTCGCGAATGACATTTTTTGACAAAATCACGAGCCGTTAGGTGATCTTCTTATTCTATGGCATAGAAAAGTGATTTATATTGTTGATATAGAACGCTCACTTCTGTTGTAGTCGCCAAGTGACATTTCCGACGGTCCTGCCATAGCGGTGTAGTCATTGAACTAATAACAAAGGGTTACATTACAGGGACATTTGTCGGGCTGTTTGAATGTCAAGTTTCAAATGACTGGTTTGACATTTCAATTTTTTCAAAATAAAGCAGTGCTCCGAAACTTCAAACTAAAATTTTATTAATTTTATTTTCAAATATTATTTATGTGAGAATCACTTAATGAATAAAATAGTCTACAATCTAGATGATCTGGCGTATCTGACTCATGGAGCTGACTGAAACACTATTTCCAATCTGCTTTTTGGAAATGTCCATGTTCCCATTTGAATGGCTGTCATATTTGATCAAGTTATTTCTAATTTCCTTGAGCACGTGTGGAGTATCATACAGTGGCACGATTACGATTTCTAGGTTGTATATCTCCAAAAAAAACAACATTTCTGTTTCTGTGTTGTTTTTGATGTAGATTTCTATGGTCTGTTGCTGCAATTCGCTTATGGCCGAATAATTAATGAAGAAACATCATGCATGTTTCAGCCTACTTTCACGCCTATCCCCAAGCTTCCATCCGAAGTGCAGCAGGTGATGTAGGCCTGAGCTATTATTATAAGCGGAAAAATTTAAACGATCATAATATGAATCCTTTTAAATTCACAAAAGTTCAACAGCTGAAACCGGATGATTACCAAGGTTAAATTCGATGTTAAAAGACACTTCTGACACACACTTATGAGTATCTATGGCCATTTGCACCGACCATTTTAAGGAAGCCTTAGCGATAAGTATCCCTTAAAATAAAATTTTTACATGGAGAACCATCACTTTAAGGAATACTTATCGCTAAGGCTTCCTTAAAATGGTCGGTGCAAACGGCCATAAAACTTTCTAAAAAAAAAATTAATATGGACCGATGAAGCTAAATTTTCTAGAGAAGGTATTTTTGATAGGAGAAATCAACACTTTTGAGCTAATCAAAATCCACATGCGGTCAAGGAAAAAAAGATTCCAAACTCCAAGGTTGCAACAAAATAGGTTGTGACAGTATTTTTTCTACTACCTCACGTAAAGTACTCACTTTATGCACTATTGCGAAGACGTTAAATTTCACTTCACACACTAGTGCGTAAAGTAATGTCAATGACAGATGTCGACACTATCAATTTAGTATTTTTCTTTTTCTGGTAAATTACTTCACCCACCAATGCGTGAAGTATTTGTCTAAATTTATTTTTCCCATATATTTTATTGATAGTAGAAACAATGTTGTATGCAATAAGTGTGTACAGTACGGTAGTACCTTTTTTTACTCAAGTGATTGTCGCACGACACATTCGTGAAAAAAAGTTCACTTAACACACTATTGTTACTGCTATTTAATAAGACACTGTATTTCCGAAACCTTACTATTTAGGTATAGGAACATGATACATCATTTGTAAGGGATTTCAATTGCCTATCATAATATTTCATAATATACAGGGTGTCCTATTTGAAAAAGTGCACTTTTCATCTTTTTTGTACCTGGCAACACAATTACTAATTTTGACCAACCCTGTATAATGTAGAACAAATTTTCTTGATCAAAAGTAATATGCAGGACCTCCCTAAGTTATCTCCAAAATTTAAACTTTCTACGAATCTTAAGGACGTAGTAATACAAATTTAACTGGAGCTATGTTTTGAAGAAAAAATAAAGAAATTAATTAAGAAGTCGAAAATCACTAGAGATAGGTCAGTATTATACAAAAATGATCAGAAAGTAATAGCGGAGCGAAAAATGTAATAATATACAGGGTGTCTCATTTAAAATTTCAAAGTTCATATTACTTTTTGGTATAAGCGGCAACGTCGCATCGTTGAAATTATTCCAGAATGATAGATCAGGAGCAATGGCATGTAATATTGACAGTTGAGTTGAAGAGGGCGCTTCTGTACTTGGATCTCTTTAAATTTTGGCGCGTAAAAAATCGATTGTAATTTTAACCTCAAAACTTAAGTTTGATGTGTGGTTTCAAGACAAGCTGACGCTGACACTTTTGAAAATATTCTCTAAGGGCCACTGAACACTTTGAAAGATATTTTAACTTATGCATTGTCCATTATTCATATGTAATCATCTTTCCTTCTAATCAATTTAATCGGTTTAAAACTATTGACATTTCCCGCCAAAATTTAAAGCACTCCAAGTTCACTCGCGCCCTCTACAAAATTTTGAGGAACTCAACTGGATATTTGCTGCCATTACTTGGGCATGCAAATTTGTGTCCCATTGAAAAAAACCGGACTTTGGTCAATATTTCGAAGTTGGGGCCAACTAGAAAAAAATGGAGAACGTCACTGAATTCTGCTTCAAAAAGTTCTTCTAGAAAGTTTTTACGGAAATCAATTATTTTCATAAACAAAAAAGTGATGAAGGTTTCACAATATTGCTCAAAATCGAGAATCGCCATCTAGCGGCTAAATGGTTGAACATATCAAAATGCGGTTTGCACTAATCAAAATTTCATGAAATTTGAGCCTCAGAGTGGGGGGTTCATTTTTTTGTATCTCGCTCAGAAATTGACGTTTCCTATTAAAAGTGTCCAAATTGGCCCACCCTGTACAGTGAGTTGTATAACCGATGTAATACACTCTAGTGAAATAGTCAATGGGCTCTACGAGCACAGCATATTTTTTGTTATTACATATTCTAAAAGATCGTATTAAGTTTAGCAGTTGTGCAAAATTTCCTAATTTTCTGAGCCCTTGTTCATATTTAAATAAATTATCAAAACGCTCCAAATTTGAAACATGCGGTGACGTCACTGCATCTCTCAGGTTGGTCGTGGTGGTGCTGGTACGCCCGTCACTACGACATTACGGGCATTGTTTTGACAAGTTTTAGTTTGGCATTTTTTCCATCCTGGGAAGAACTGGATGTTTTTCTTTCGAACATATTGAAGTATATTTGATTAATTCCCTGACCATAGTTCCCTGACTTTCAATATTTTATGAGCAGAATTATGGAAGTAACATGCAAAAAGTAAAATTATAGATAGTTCCGCAAACTCGGAAACTGTGTCCCAATTGACATTGCGTTATGCAAAACCGTGTGTGACGACCTTTAGCCTGTCTCGACTTGAAAGATGACGTCATACTATCTCTCAGCGATGACTTTCTGAGGCATAATGTTTTTATATTCGAAAACGCATAACTTTTTTAATATTTATCCAATTGAGCTGAAATTTTTTTTTTGTGTGCTATATGTGAGTAATACCTTATGAAAATAGGAAACAACGTGATTGATGAAACTTCACTGAACAAGCCTATTAAATAAATATTGTCCACACGTCAATTTACTTTTCGCATGACCTGCTTGAAGCTCCTATTGGAAGCAATGTGAAACACTTTCTTGCTACAAAAATAAAACAATAACTTTTGACTTATTCAATTACAATATATCGAAACAAAATCTTCCTGGCTGCTTGAAAATTGCCAGAGCTTTTATATATTAAGTGCAAATTGAATGCCGCCTGCTTTTTGAGGTCCAAATAATCCGGGTATTTGTCCAAATAGTCGTTTTGTACTTCAAAAACCTGAAAATAAATAAATCAAAATGGGGCTTGTAAGGCAAATATATGGTAAACCATTTTATAATAATGTTCAGCTAAAGAGAAGATGCCGATTTGCTGATACATCCTGCCCATGTTGTAGAAAGCTTCCTGCTGGGCATTTTTGGTACGAATTTTGGCGTAATTGAGAAACAAGTATGTCACCATTTCTACCATCGACTTTTTGCTTATGCTGTTTTCCTTTTTTTGACAATATTGCTGAAGCATAATAAGACCTAGAAGCAGCATAAAATTAGAATAATGACATTAATCGCGTCTACTGCCTAGTTACCTATCATAAAAGCTGAATAAGAATTCTTACTGGTTTTATATTCTTTTAAAAAATACGTCAAGGATTGAGAATACTGTCCGACACTACAGAAATTATTGGCCTTAACTAACTCAGTGTTTCCAATGGGCATTCTGGATTTTACCGTAGGTGCATCTGTAAATAATTTATATTTAAAGCGGACTGTTGTGCAGAGCTCTGTTAGAAGCCAAAAATAAGTAGCAACAGTAACTTGTTTTGCATCTAACAAATCGCTTTAAGGTTCAGACGAGTAACTACCAAAAAATCTGCTCATCTTAGTAGTTTCATGGTTGTGCAGCATAATCGAGTACAAATTCCATGCTTGATTATTTTGAGGTTGATGGAACAGTAATTCTTTAGCTATCAGATAACCGTGGTAATAGTCCTTGCAAAAAATGCATGAGTGACATGCAATTAAAAATATTTCAGCTAAAACAAGTAGAAATAATATGATATATTATAGGAAACAAGTAAAAAGTTGCTTACAGAAATATTTCACAAATTTCTTAGAACCAAGCCCCATAAAGGCAAATTTCTGAAACTGAAGGTAGGCTTTTTTCTCAAAGGCAAACTGTAGAATTTCTAGGTAGAGCTTGTATTCGTCTTCTACTGCAGGCTCAAAAACACCTGAAAAATTAAATTTAAGGCAACTCTCAATTAACACTTAATCATCCCTTACTAATTAAGTTCATTTCGGTATCTTCCTCCCCATTCACTATTCGCATTTTGGCTATTTTGTTTTGTTTCCCCTTAGGTCCTTTTAGGTGCAACAGTATTCGCAGCTCGGTATAGTTTTTCAATTGGATGCAGTGACGAGATAACAATAGTTCGCAACACTTCCAATAATTGGCCAGATCGCCGATTTGTTTCAGTAGTTTCATTTGTTCGATGAGAACTGCAACGTGGAGCTTACCAGAACTGAAATCGCCATAAGTGATTATTTGAAGGAATGTATTTATATAAAATTTACAGAACACATCAAATCAAATCAAATCAAAAAATACTTTATTGTCCAAGAAAATCAAATTTCTGTTGACAAAGCATTTCCTTTCAGTATTTTCTACTATGATATTTAATTCAAACTGACAAAATATTGAATGTTTTTTTTTACTTCAATTCCTCAGCTCTAGTCTAAGATTATATACCTACTTTCTCTAAGGTAGGTATGATTCCATTCTCAATTGTTATAAAAATATTAATAGAATAATAGTGAAAGCAAGTAAGTATGTACAAGGAAATTTAACACTTATTTGACAGTGAACTCAATGAAGTATTATTTCCAAAAATAATAATTTACTTTTGGATCTGCACAAGACATTAGCCGTACTCCGGTCACAAAAGAAAATAGCTTCTGGCTGCTATGCTGTGAAGACGACAGTCCGGGAGTGGGTTTTTAACTTTAACGGAAAATCAGTTTACCATGCACTGATTGAGTCACTCCTACGGTATGGCATTGCTTTTTGGGGCTCAAGAACTAATCAACTAATTGGTATGTTGTTTATCTTACAGAAGAAGAGAGTTGTAAGATGCTAACTATGGAGAATCATGCAAATCCCTGTTCAAATCCTAACAATCACTTGTTTGTATATTTTAGAAACAGCAAGTCTTATTATACTCATCACAATGATTGTATTCGGCCTTCAACTAGCTATAGCCATAGTACAAGATCTACCTCTAGCAAATTAACCTACAGTACAATACTTATACTATAATGGTATAAAAATGTTCAACAAGTACCACAAGCAATTAAAATCCTACCAACAATGAGATTATTTATAACCGGACTACGGGACCTACTTTCTGATAGAGCCTATAAAAATTTGAACGAGTATTATCAGGACAGATTCCAGGCCATTAGCATGTTGCTAACTTTGAATGTTTTAAATAACTGTGATAGAATAAGTTTTGTATTTTTATTATTTTGTCCTGCGTATTTGTATTTAATCCTGAGTTTTAAACTTTCTGTGATTGAAGTGTCTTTCTGTTTAATAAGTAACTTATTCAGTCATGGAGTTTATTAATGTTATGCAAAAAATACTCAATAAGTAATATATTTTTTATTATATTTATACTTTTACCAAAGATCAATTTAGATTTAATCCCGATTTTCAAAATTTGTGTAAACTGTAATTTTTTTTTTTTTTTTCTTATTTAACTTATTTTAACGGTTGGATTTATGTATCTGCGTGAAAAAATATCATAATTTGTCATATTCCCGGCACATGAAAGTGGCCAGGGTGCCCCTAAATACTTAATTTCATCCGAGAGAAATAATTGTGTTCTGCTTAGAGTGGGGGCTCGTAGATTCAGTTTTTTTCTTTTCGCAAACGGAACTAAGCTAAGCTCGTGTTGCTGGAATTTATAAAAAGTGCTTTTTCAGTACTTCAGTATTTGATTATTATAGTCAAGGCACTTTGCATAAGACCTGGTATTATGCTTTCATGCTTAACCTCTGGTTACTACCGCCAGAGATCATCTTCGTAGTCTAGGACAGTTATTCCAAAAGAGTCTGGGGAGCAGACAGGCAGAGCTCCGAAGGCTGCCGAATGATTTTCCGCGTGTGGCTATTTTACCAAAACCCAAAACCCATTAGGATGGGTTCATTTAGGATCGGCTGAAATACCCTCTGTTGCCAAATGTATCGTTATAGGTTATAGGTAAGGTAATGTTTTGCGCACTTTAATACATACTTCGATTTCTACGATTACTTTCACAGGCATGATGTGGCCCAGAGCCCGTATTCTCGTCACCGGGGAACAGCGTTCTCTCAAGAGAACGATTGCTCTGTCTTAGTTACTTATATTGTTATTTCCATAATACTGACAAAGACAGAGCAATCGTTCTCCCTGATCCAAATGGCACTCCTGTCCTTGTTGCCAGAAACAAATACACAAACAATGCATGCTCCTATCATCATCAGAAATGAGAGATGCCTTTACAAAAGCGTCTAGTGTTTATGTATGATGTATGTAAAAAAATGCTAACAAAAATTCCGTATTTGATTGGCGTTATTGAAGACATGAAGAAAGAATTCGAGGAACTTAATTTGAACCTCAAAAATTCTCACAAAAATTAAATAGGGGAATTTAATAAGCAAATTTTAGATTTCACCTCTAGTAATGCAAAACTTACAAAACAAGTGAGCAGCTTACATGGTAAAATAGATACTTCAGTAACTCAGAGACTCAGAGTGCCATACCTACTTATTTATCTGTTACTAGTGAAAAGAGTAAATCATCACTTTCTAGAAAAAATATTCCCAATCTTATTACTCGTCTTATTATAAAGCCGAAACAGCAACAATCATCTAAAAAAAACAAAAAGCTCTACTCAATCAGATAAAACTCTCCAGCTTGAATGTTGGTGTGAGAAATACAAGGGACACAAAGGGGGGTAGTGTTGTTATTAAATGCCAGTCTAAGCAAGAGATTGAAATATTACAGGAGGAGGCTAAAATAGTTATTTATGTATCAAGGGATTTATGAGGGTGTTAATACCCCAGGACAAAGTTTGTGTGGCCCGAGGAACACCAACTGCCTGTGGGTATTGACACCTGATAATTCCCGTGGTACATAGATAATTTTATATCCTACTGAATTTACTGTATTTTGTCTATTTTTAAGTTTACAAAGTTTTACCTATTCAAGGTAAAAGCGGGAGTTATGGAAAAATCCTTAACTCCCTTGGGAGTTATGATATCCTTAACTACCGCACGGAAGTTATGGAAATCCTTAACTCCCTTGGGAGTTAAGACCCTGTTTATGATTATCGTAACCAAGGTATTATATGGTTTTAATAGTTCAGTAGGATATAAAAACATTTTTGACATCAAATTCGAAAATTTCAGGTAAAATCCCAAAACTTTTGTATCTACAATTTTTTGATATCTCTTCACATAACCCCTGTAGTGGGGGGGGGGGGGGGTAGGGTTGGGTGAATTTCACTGTTCACTTCATCTGGAAATTTCAGTCTGAAATTTTCATGGAAATATTGAAATTTTTGAAATTTCCGTGAAATTTTCAAAATTTCTGAATTTTTTTTTGAAAATTCCCAAAATTTCATGAAATTTTCAAAATCAAATGATTCACTATGAAATTTTCAATGAAATTTCATAAAATTCCATGAAATTTTCAGTAGTGATAGCAATAGCCCAAGAACATTGATAATTATCCGAAAAAATTTTATAACAGATTTCGAAAGCTTGTTGCTTGAAAACAGACCAAGGCGCTAGCGGAGGTTTGTTTTCTAAAAGCAACAAGCTTGAGAAAGTTTTTATAAAATTTTTGAATTTTTAAAATGCGACTGTGCAGAAGGTAAATTTATAAATATATAGGGAAGAAAACAACACACAAAACAAGAAAGTCTGCCCACACAGCAAATAGTGCGGAAAGAGCCATTTTCCGCACGCTCATAAAAAAAACACATTCTACCTTTCTCTTATTTATTTCCTAGTCAGTTGAGTGAAGGAGCTTCAAATATTGTTTTTTTAGTTTAACTGTATTTATCATAATTTTAGGCTTCCAACAAGAAATTCATCTGCCTCGGAAACTTGTTTTGTCATGTCGTGTCCTGTAAAATCGAATCGTGGCAAATGAATTGCAACCTAAGCTAAGAAATTTGCTAAGAATTCGGATTCCAACAATCCAGAGCAAGACAACCAGTGAGCAGCATTGCCATTATTCCCAATAACTCCTTGTATTTCCCGGCGAAACATGTACGCTTTTTGAAAATTTCGATGAAATTTATGAAATTTCCAGTGAAACATATGAAATTTTCTATAAAGTTTGGGAAATTTCAAATTGAAATTTTCACCTGCAATTTCTGTGAAATTTCACTTTTTTCGAATATTGGAATTTTCACATTTGAATATTTCAAACATGGAAATTTCATTTGAATTTTCAAACAGCACAACGCTAGAGGGGGGTCAATAAATGGGGAAAGACAATGGGAAAGACCCTGTACATAGATTATCATTACATAATCCTCATTCTATTTCAACAATTTTGAGAAGCCACTGGCCAGTGTTTCACAATTCAGTTTGAAACCTAATTCTTACCTCATATCTTGACTCAATACAGCCAGAGCCTCTTCCTTTCTATCCTGCTGCAACAATAGCATGGCCAAAGGATATAAAACGTCCACATGATTTGGCGCCATGCTAATTACATTCATATAAGCCTCAATTGCCTAAATAAATAAACCAAAAATAAAAATAATGAAACCCTACCTATAAAATTAATTATACCTGTTCGTACATGCGCAATTGAGTTAAACACTCTGCATGCTTAAGCCAGATACCAGCCAAAGAGAAATTTTTACTTTTAACCAAAGGAATTAACAGTTGTAGGGCTTCAGCATACAAAAATGAGGCCATAAGGGCTTCAGCTATATCAAAATAAAGCATCCCATTGACTTCAATGTCATCATTTGTAATCATCTCTTTTATTAATTCCTCTATAAGCTGATACGATTGGAGCCCTATAATGCACACTATGAATTTGCTTTTTAAATCCACCTGGAACAAATCTGTTAAAAATGTATTTGTAATTATTCAAGGGCTTACATGCAAGTTTTCAGGAATTAAATACGAGTTTATTGTAATCGACATGTCCTCTCCAACGGTTACATCAAATTGAAATCCACAAAATTGGGTAAAAATGTCTAAGCACTCCGAGAATCTTTCGCTGAGCAGTAACAATTCCAACATCATATTTAAAACATCTGGAGTAATGTTATTTGGAATGCGCCTAAGACAAATTTTCAGAGCCTCGATAGCTTTCATGTAGTTTTTAGCCTCAAAGTACTCCTTAGCTACTTCACTGCAAATCTGCAATATCTGAGCGGGCTTGTTTTTAGGTAGGGCCTTGGCCAGACCCAATTTAAGCCCTAAGCTGTTCCTAGAAGGTACTAACAAAACTAACAAGCTTGAAAGTAAATTAAATAATCACCTCTTTCTTCAATTAGTCGTAATCGTTTCACATGTAACTCAACTTCATTTGGTCTAGCCTTAATCGCTCTATTATAACAACTAATTGCAGCTGAAACCTGATTATCTTGCAACTCTACATCTGCTAATCTACACCAAATTTCTGTGTCTGATGGATGTAAATGGCCAGCCAGCATTAAAAATCCTTTGTACTTTTTCATGTTCTGATTCTCGTACATTTGCGCTAGGGTTAAGTAAGGTTCATAAGCTTCGGGGGCTTGCCTTATCACTTCAAAACACATTTTTTTGCTCAGCTCTATCTCGCCTCTGGCGAATCGAATGTTGGCTTCGCCCATTAGGCCCCTCAAAGAAGGCGGAAGCTTTGAAGGCTTTGCTTTTCTAGGAACTTTGTTAAAAATTAGTATTCTTTTGTGGTTAAAGATTGGCTACTACATATACCTGGTTCCGTTTCTTCGTCTGAAGGGTCATCGGGGTCTTGTACATGTTCAGGAACACTCTTCAATAAGAGATCTTCATCCATTTCCATTTCTTGGCTTGGCTTTGTTTAACTTTTTGTTGTTGTTGTTCTGTCAATGGCTTTGCTACTAGGCAATTGCCAGCTCGATTCCTTAGTGTCCACGGGATGTCTGGCTCGAAACCATGTCGTGGCCACTGAACTGTTGAAAATTGAGCTACAATACTATATAGATTATTATTAGCAAACTTTTTGTGATTTTACTGGGTAGTCTGGGTACATGTAGAGCAATTAATAGACATAACAACAGAGGTTCAATGGTAGCACATCAAAACACGAAAACTGGAAGATCTGGAAATAGGGAAACATTAAGTTGAGCATTACAGTTTTATTTTGTTATGATTGAGAAAGTTCATTATGATACAACTTGCTGCTTCATTCATAGAAGACAGTATGGTGTAAATTGTCATGGGAGTACTGAATCCTAACTCACGGAACTCTTTATACATATCAACGCCCTGTATGAAGTTAATAGGACATTCAAATATAATGTGATTCAGATTCTCTACCTGTCCACACTCACATAAGGGGTCATCTTTTATATTAATTTTATAGAGGTGCTCTCCGGTTAAACAGTGTCCGATGCGCATTCGTATTATGGTGGTAATATGTCTACGATTTTTGTAGGGGAAATCAGCATACCATTTCTTTTGGCAAAATTCTGACTGTACCTTACAGTATTGATAATTTTTATTTTTTGCCGAAATTCTCCACTGATCCTTATACTCAGTGTAGAGTTTTTGTTTAATACTATTATATACATCTTTAATGTCCAACAACATTTGTTTTGGAACGTTTAAAATTCTGCCAATATTAGCAAGTTTGTCCACAGTCTCATTTTCCTGAATACCCGAATGTCCCGGGATCCAGGCCAGTCTGAAATCGAAACCATTTTCACTAGATGAAAGGATGAGCTTCTTTGTTCTTAGTGTCCAATAGTCGGCTACCGCATTATGGAGATTACTGTTTATTTTCTGAATAGCAGACAGAGAATCCGAGAAGATAATAGCGTTTTTTAAATGTTTTTGAATGGCCGTCCTTACTGCATCATGAATTGCGATGATTTCTGCCTTACAGTATCCACATACAGAGTCTATGATCTATATGTGGTATGTAAATTCCGTAACCCAACCTGTCATCTTTTTTAGAAGCGTCTGAATAAATAAACAAAAAATTGTTAGAATATTCATTTTTTACCGCAGCAAATCTCGCCTTTGCTGCTATATCACCTTTCTTTATCTTACAATCAATAGTTTTCAACGGGGACGTTAGAATTTCATATTCTACCTCATAGCAAGGAAAATTAACACCATTATAGACTTTATTTAAGAAAGGCAAAAAATGTTGCAAAGTTAGAACTAAGTATGGTATGTTGTCATTCTCATAAAAATCACGACCATTGATAAGCTGCCTACGACATTCCAGCATTAATTTGACAGTCGGATGATCTCGAATGGCCAACAATTTCATTATAAATTTAATTGACAGCATTTTTCTCCTTTGTTCTGGTTCTACTATTGCCGCTTCAGAAAGGATTGCTAATCTAGGCGATGATCTCATGCACCCCAAACATATTCTCAACCCTTCATAAATTACTTTGTCAATCTTATCAAAATTCTTCAGACTACCTGGTTTAATAAAAATTGCACCAAAATCCAAGTGGGATCTAACCAACGCATGAAAAGCTGTTAACATAGTACAGGGATCTGCTCCCCACCAGACTCTACAAATGGCTTTCAAAACATTCAAAGATTTTCTTGCTTTCGTTGTGATTAGCTCCACATGTACATCCCACTTGAGATGGTTCTGAAACATCACTCCCAGATATTTAACCTGCTGTCGAAAAACAATGGATTGATTATTGAATCTAATGGGTAAAGGAATTGTTTTTCTTCTGCCTTTTGTGAACCACATCGCTTCACACTTGTTTGGTGCCAGGGATAGGTTGTTTTCCCTTAACCAATCATCTATCTTTTCCAAAGCCAAATTTATTTCTGCAAGCATCTCCTCCAAACAATTACCCTTTATGCAAATCACCAGATCGTCTGCATATCCAATCAGAGAGACATTTCCCAGTTCCAATTTAAAGAGTTCTGCAACGTATACGTTAAAAAGAATAGTACTTAATGGAGAGCCTTGAGGTAGACCCCTTGTTGCCAGAAAAGGGCCCAATAATGTGCCCATGTTAGTTTTGCTATATAGTAGTCTTGTCCTAAGAAATAAATGAATGAGATTGTTGATTTCCGGTGGTATGTCCAATGTTTGGAGTTTATTATATAGTCTATATATGTTTACATTATCATATGCGGCCTTAATGTCTAAAAAAACTGCCACCACTGTCTTTGAAGAAAGAAAAGCATCGAATATGTACATAGATAAATAGGCTATGTTGTCATAAATTCCTCTTCCCTTCCTAAAACCCAACTGATTATTATTAAATTTTTGTTTATTTTCTAATTGCCAATCTAGTCTGTTTTTAATCATAGTTTCTAATATTTTACCCCCACAAGGTGAAAGTGCAATGGGCCTATAATTCTCAGCCAATGTTGGGTCCTTATTTGGCTTCAAAAAGCTGATAACATTAATCTTTTTCCAGGATTGTGGGATCTTTTCTCCCATTAGGTTTTTGTTAAACAAATTCAACAAAATTTTTTTTCCTCTTAAGGGTAAATTCCTGAACATCAGGTAGGTAATGTCATCCAAGCCTGGTGCTGAAAGTTTTTTATTTCTTAAAGCAGATTCCATTTCTTGCAGGGAAAATAACTTAATATTGTTTACATCATCGGGGGGGACCATTAAAAATTCCGGATCAATATTGATGCTGGCCATATTTTGTAGAATGTTCAATTTTAATTTGTCATCTGTCATACAAAGGTTATTATTTTTGTGAATGTTGGAGAATTTTTTATTTTTGTTCCAAACATAGCTAATATTTGAGTTCCTATTCAGGGATTCACAGAAAGTAACAAATTTTTCTCTTTTTTTCTTTTTTAAATTTCTCTTTACCACCGCCATTTCTCTTTTTACTGCAATGAAATTTTCAAGTGAAGGATGATTATTAAATTTTTCTATACCATTTCTTCTATTCTGAATCCATCCAGAACATTCTTCGTCCCACCAGGGGTTGCCGGCCCCTTTAAATAAACCACAGTTTTTATATGGAATAGATTCTTCTGCTGCCAGGTTCATCATATTGTCCTCATAACCTATATTGACATTTGATGTGTCGATATAAGAAGCAATTCTATCATGATAACATTTCCAATCAGCCTTGTCAAAGTTTCTTCTTCTAAATCCTGGGTAAAAGGTTTTACTTAAATTATTGTTATCCCTCACGTTGACTTTCAATACGGTTGGATAATGATCACTATTACCACAGTCCTTTAGGACGTCCCATGTGGATTTATTTATTTATTTATTTATTTATTTATTTACGGGCAAGACCCATTAAAAAAAAAAAACAACAAGAAACATTAAGTACATTAATTGCCAGTGCACCATTGAGAATTGCTAGGTCCACCGCACTGAGATTGCAAGTCGGATTCTGCATAAGAGTAGCCGCTCCATTATTCATGATAACAAGATCTTTATCAAATATAAATTCGCTTATAATTTTACCTTCCTTGTTAACAGGACTTCTGTCCCACATTGGATGGTGAGAATTCAGATCGCCCATCAATACGCTGTTCTGAGATTCATTGTGATTGTAAAGATTGACAAGAAGATTTTCATCTACTGCAGTATCTCTACTGGCATAAACATTTTTTATAAAAATATCACCCACTTGAATTATTATGTATTGAACAGTTTCCGAATGAAAAACTTTAATTTGTTTAAATTGTATATTTTTTTTAATGCAGGTAGCCACACCAGCGTACCCATCATCTCTATCTTGCCTAATTATGTAATAGGAGTTCAATATAAATTTTCGTGCGGGGTTCAACCATGTTTCATTTAATAAAATAATATCGAGGTTTTCTTTGAATATTAAATTGTTGAGATTTTCTTGATTGGATTGAATGCTCCTGATGTTCCATTGAATAATTTTAATATTGGACCTAAGTTTTGTTTGTTGATCGAAAATACTAGTGGGGGGTAATATACTAGAACAGGGATTTATTGCTATCAGTCTTCTGAATCACGGTCATATTCCATATATGAGCCGCGACCCTGTTCCGACAGCAATAGACTTCTTAATACATTTGTTTGCTCTACAGAAGCATGTCTTATAAAGTTAATAATAATATCTAAATTAACATTTTCCAATTTACGAATAGATGAAGATGCACTAGTAGGCTGTAAATTTATTGAATCATTTGACAATGTTTGTTTTTGTTGTGAAAAATAAGCTGTAGGGCGTGTATTTTGAATTCTTCCATTGGGGTTGAATAAATTTTCTTCATGTGTTTTCTTATCATAACTTTTTTGAATAATCCTTTTTTTTTGTTGGGTTACTAGATACCACTTGTTGAAAAGTACGTTTGATGGGATTATTTTTAAAAGAAGAACTCCTTCTTTCTGAGGGTTCAAAGGTTAAATCGGAGCTACGTTGGGAGTATGTAATGTTAGTAGTATTTTGTACTGAGGGGAAGTCTTCCCGGTTGAGGGCAAAATCACCCCTGGGAATATAGGTTCTCTTACAACTCTCGCTTGCCTCAAAAAAGGTTAAATTTTCATACGCCATTAGGTCTTTAATATTCTTTTGTCTGGTGTATTCTGGACAAATTTTGGATGTAGATTTATGAGATTCTTTGCAAAAAAAACATGTCATATTGCATGTGAATTCTTCATTCTCATCTAAATGTTTTGGTTCACCACAATTAAAGCAGCGTTCTTTTCCCTTACAATTAACTTTAGTGTGACCATATCGAAGGCACCGATAACACTGTGTAACTGGTGGCACATATACAGAAATATTGAATGAAAGATTGTAAAAATGTACTGCTCTTGGCAGCCTAACTCCTTTAAAGGTAAAAAGAACTGTTCCAGTGGGTTCATAAGAAACCACTTTATCAGTAATTACTTTTCTATTAAGTCTTTTGACGTTAAGGATTTCTATATTTCCATCCATATTACTACATTCCAAGAGTTCTTGTTCTGTAATATCAAAATCAACCTGTCTAGCAATTCCTTTGGACGTAACAAAATTGAAAGGTATAAATATAGTCCAAGCAATAAAGGAAGTTTACCTCAACATAATTAGAAGTTAACATTTTTTGGGGGGGATCGTTTCATTTTCATGTGCTTAATAACATATTAAGTTTGCGACCTTGTACTTCCATAGGGTTTTCAGTTAGGGGTGGTTTTTAGGGTTAATTTGCAGTTTATGGAGAACGCTGCTCAAAAGGATGGTCCAATAGCAAAAAGTTTCAAATTAATATTGTAGCTGAAGCTTTTTGCTATAAAAAACTCAGCGACAGCACCCCTCTATCTTCTATAGTTTTTTTTCTGCAGCGTCTTGAATAGCAGCATGTTTTTGTTCAAGGTCACTGAATCAACGTTTTGCCATTTTGCGCGCATTTGTTGCAGCAGCGGCCGAATGCATAATCCGATTTCAATTTTTCAAACACCACATTATTTCTAATGAAATGCACTCTCCAATGCTTTTTTGTTCGAATTTTTTGCTTGAAAATTAAGCGAGCACGGACTTGTCTAATGTGCGAGGAAGTTGTAAATTGCATCGAAAACTACCCCTTTCTTGCATTCACTCTAATTTCTAATCGGCGCCAAATATTTGGTGATAGTTTTCGACAATCGGCAGCCAATTTATTCCTCTCATAATGCCCCAGCGGATTTTTTTTTTCGTTAATCACTTAATGACTTATTGGCCTGAAAACGTCGCGCGCGATTTTTCAAAAAGTAAAAAAAAATTAAAATTGTCGCATAGCGCTGAAATTTGGTACGATGGCTTTATTTATTGTTCTCATGATTATACTGCAATTTTATATCATGTGAAGCAATTAAAATTGCAGTATATTCGTAAGAACAATAAATAAGGCCATCGTACCAAATTTCTGCGCTATGCGACAATTTTAATTATTTTTTACTTTTTGAAAAATCCCGCGCGACGTTTTCAGGCCAATAAGTCATTAAGTGATTAACGAAAAAAAAAAAGACGCTGGGGCATTATGAGAGGAATAAATGGGCTGCCGATTGTCGAAAACTGTCACCAAATATTTGGCCCCGTTTAGAAATTAGAGTGAATGCAAGAAAGGGGTAGTTTTCGATGCAATTTACAACTTCCTCGCACATTAGACAAGTCCGTGCTCGCTTAATTTTCAAGCAAAAAATTCGAACAAAAAAGCATTGGAGAGTGCATTTCATTAGAAATAATGTGGTGTTTGAAAAATTGAATTCGGATTATGCATTCGGCCGCTGCTGCAACAAATGCGCGTAAAATGGCAAAACGTTGATTCAGTGACCTTGAACAAAAACATGCTACTATTCAAGAAGCTGCAGAAAAAAAACTATAGAAGATAGAGGGGTGCTGTCGCTGAGTTTTTTATAGCAAAAAACTTCAGCTACAACATTCATTTGAAACTTTTTACTATTGAACCATCCCTTTGAGCAGCGTTCTCCATAAACCGCAAATTACCCCTAAAAACCACCCCTAACTGAAAACCCTATGGAAGTACAAGGTCGCAAACTTAATATGTTGTTTAGCATATTAAAATGAACCGATCCCCCCAAAAAAATTTCAACTTCTAATTATGTTGAGGTAACCCCTCTTTTCAGATCTCCGTTTCTTGGACTAATATTTTATATCCTTTTTTCAAAAGAGTTTGATTTTTAACAAATAAATTTGCTGCACTAAATGATAAAAATTCTACTGAAATTCTATTTAATCCTTTGTTACTAATTTTTTTAATATCAGCCAGTTTGAGATTAAAAATATCCCTAGCAATTTTAATGTTGTTTACTTTACCAAGGTTGAAACCCACTTTTTCTGTGGATTCCAAGTAAACAATGTATGGGCTTTTATCAATAGCCGAATATAAAATGGTTGGTTTAATTATATTATTTTTTTCAACATCGCTAATTTTTTCTAAATTTTTAATAATTTCTTGGGGCAAACCCTCGTTTCTGGGGGGGTCGCCCCCCCCAAATTCATCCATGATTAAAATTCAATATCCCACAACCATTCAATAGCCACCAGTTGAATTTTTTTTTTTTAAGCAAAATAAAAAACAAAAGCAAGGGTGAAAAAGTGAGTTTATCTAATAATGCTCAACTTACCTAAGCTCTGGACTCAAACGAAAACAATACACAGATTAGTAGGTAGAAATTCGCTCTGAAATAGCTAAAACCCGGACAAGAAGCAAAACGATGTTATTCGTATCGAGTTGCAAACCGAAGTGTGTTTAACTTTTTATATCTTTTTTTTCAGTTTTCTCTACTTTACTTGTTTGTAAACAAAACAGTTTGGTTAGGTTAGTGATGAGACTTGAACATCGATCGATGTAGTGAACATCGATGTTATTGCCTTCGATATTCGATGTTTTAGCATCGATGGGATAGCAGGCAGTAGTTACGAAACATCGACATATCGATGTTTGAATAATCTATATTCGATGTTGCGGAAAGTAACGCAAACCTAGACTCAGAAAATAAATAGATTGGAAGGGAAAGGAAAAGATTAGATTATCAGCTTTGTTATTTTTACAGTTTGTTGTAGATCGTATTTTTGAAAGATTTAAAGCAGTTTTGGGTTTATATCATTTGATTCCTATTCATTTTGTGATTATTTTATTACAGTATCTGGGGGGTTGATTTACGTCTTTGATGATAGAGAACTTCTAACTAATTACTTTAATCATTAATTTATTATAAAATATTAAACGTGAGTTACAAAAGCATATATTTTGGTTACATTATTATATTAGGTTATGTTCTATTGCTAGGCGCTTTCGGCTTTCACTCTCAGTGCACTATATTACTCTAACACTCCTCCTCGATTTGAAATGTTTCAAAAAATCAACACAAATAAACTTAACATAAAAATCGTACTTGAATGACAGCTTATAAAAACTTCAAAGAAAATTTACAAAACACAAATCTTATCTCTAAGAAAATTGAAAATTTCTTTTCCCAAAGATTTTGTCAGTATATCAGCTAGGTTTTGATCAGTTGATACATATTGAATGTTAATTTCTTTACCCAAAACCAAATCCTTCAAATAATGATGTTTGATATCAATATGCTTGGATCTTTTTGAATTCTCATTACTTTTGGACATCAGAATTGAACTTTTGTTATCACAATAGAGAATTGTATTGCCAGAAATGTTAAAATCTTTCAAAATTCCCTTCAAATTAATCAAATCCTGAGCTGAAATTGATGCTGCCACATATTCTGCTTCTGCTGAAGATAGCGCAACGCAACCTTGCTTCTTGGAAAACCAAAATATCGGATTCTGTCCATAAAGTATTATGCATCCACTGACACTTTTACGATCTTTTTTGTCTGTTCCCCAATCTGCATCTGAATATCCCTGTAAATTTATGTCTGTATTTGAATTCTTGTGGAATGTGAGTGCCATGTCTTTTGTACCTTGTAGATAACGTAGTACTCTTTTTCCCGCATTCCATGTCTCTGTAGTTGGTCGATCCAAAAATCTACTTAGATAAGAAATTGCGTAGCCAATATCAGGTCTTGTTGTTGTAGTTAAATACATAAGTCCCCCAATTAATTCACGACATGGAACATCTTCTAGTATCTGACTGTCTTCATTATATTGAAATCCTTTCTCCATTGGTGTTCTTTTTGGATTGCATTGGTCCATATTAAAGTTTGCTAAAAGTTTTTCTATGAATTTTGTTTGGTCAATCTTTATCTTGTCTTTTGATCTCGTTATATTCATTCCCAAAAAATTCTTGATTTCCCCAAGATCTTTGGCTTGGAAATATTTTTTCAAAAGTTGCACAGTCTCTTCTACACCTGTATCATTTCCTAGTAGTAGCATGTCATCTACATAGATGAGTATCCATACTTTTTGATTATAATATAAACAACAATCATGCCTAGATCTGGTAAAGTTATTTTTAGTTGCAAAATTATTAAAGGTGTCGTTCCAAACTTTAGGTGATTCTTTCAGCCTATATAACGCTCTATTTAGTCTTAATATAGGTGTATTACACTTCAATCCTGCTGGTGCATGAATATAGACTTCATTTTCGAGAATTCCATTCAAGAATGCTGTAGGTATATCTAGTTGCCTTATGTTCCAGTTACGTTGTAGTGCTATTGAAAATATGATTCTAATCGTTGACGTTCTTGCGACAGGTGAGTAGTTTGGTTCAAAAGGATCCTCCTCCTTCATCTGAAACCCTTTTGCTACCACTCTAGCTTTTTTAGTTCCATCTTCTTTCGTCCTAAAAACCCATTTTGTTTGTATAGCTCTTTTTCCGTTTGGTAAATCTGTTTCTGTCCATGTTTTCAGTTTTTCATGTGAATTTAGCTCTTTTTCAATAGCTACTTTCCATTCTTTGCTCTTTATTGCTTCTTCATATTTAATTGGATCTTCTTCACTTGCTGATATTAAGCAATATGCTGTATAAATCTCATATTCGGTTAAATGTCTTGGTTGAGTGATTTTTCTACCTTTGGCTGTTGTCTCTGTTCTTGGTAAACATTCTTCAAAACTTTCTGAGCTTGAACTCTCTGTATCTTCATTTGACTCATCTTCTGTTATATTTTGCTCTTGTATTTCAATTTCAATTTCATTTATTCCTCCTTTTAAGTTATGTTCACTTTCAATCTCTTCTATTACTTGCCTGAACTTTTCTGGCTTCTGATTTTTCTTTATTTTGTCATAGTTGATTGTCTTCTCATCAAATCTCACGTCTCTTGAACAAAAAATATCATTTTCTTCATAATTCCATAGTCTGTAACCCGATCCAGTATATCCTACATGTATACATGGTTGTGTCCTTCTTTCTAGTTTACTCTGCCTTGGTAAGATTACTGCCCACGCTTGGCTTCCAAAAACTCTCAATTTAGATATATCATTCTTACCATACCATCTTGTAGCTGGAGTTTCTCCGTTATTTGCCTCTGTCGGAGACCGGTTAAGCTCATAAGCAGAACACTGAATGGCTTCACCCCATAACTCTCTAGGTAAGTTCGTTTCAACAAATTTTGTTCTTACTTTGTCCAATAATGTTCTATTCATACGCTCCGATGCGCCGTTCTCTTGCGGTGTATATGACATTGTATATTTCAGCTCAATCCCTTTTAATCTGCAAAAATTTTAAAATAAATTCGACGTAAATTCCCCACCATTATCTACCCTTATTCTTTTCGTTTTTAACCCATGTTGTGTTTTTATTAATTTTATAAAGTCAATCAAGTTTTGTTCCCCTTCGCTTTTATTTTTCAAAAGTTTAATGACCAAAAAATGAGAATAATCATCAAGCAAAACTTGAAAGTATCTATGCCCTTCAGGCGTTGGCGTTTGTACTGGACCTGCAATGTCCGAATGTATCAACTCACCAATCCTAGCTGTCGTCTTTTCTTTTCTATAAAAAGGTTTTCTAGTGCCTTTGCCCTCTACACATGTACTGCAAATCTCTGAACTGTATGGCAAGCCTAACTTACTTAGATTATGCCTATTTATATGCCCTAACCTTCTATGCCAAATATTTTTATCTACATTTTGCTCTACACTTTTCTCTCCTATAGTATAATTACAATTTTGAGTCTTGAAATCTATGGTTAGAACAAACAAATCATTGTGTGCCTTGCAGTAAAAATTTAAATTATTTTTAGATAAAATTGCCTTTTTTATTCCTGACCTTGACTCGCTACAAAAACTAACTTCAAAATCTTTCTCAAGTAACATGCTCACAGATAATAAATTATGTGTCATACCTTCAATAATCAATGCTTCGATGGTTATTTCTTTTCCTTGACAAACCCCTCTTAATTTACCTTGCTTGTATCCATACAAAACTTCATTATTCTTTGCTGTGCCGATCTTCACGGTTGGTATTTTCTTGACATTTGACATATACATTTCCATTTCACCCATAACCATGTGCTGTGTACACCCTGAGTCCAAAATAAAATCTTTTATACTTCTTGTCCGATTTTCTGTGATGCTATGCAACGCAATGAATGCTATTTCTTCTGTCTTGTCTGCAACATGACTGTTTCCACCTCTGTTTTCGTTCTGTTTGTAACCTTGACCTCGTAACTGCGCTCGGTTATTCTGTGAATAGCCTCTGTTGTAACCTCTACGACCTCTGAAGTTTTCTCTTAATGTATTGCCCTGTCTGCACTCAAAAAACTTATGCCCTTGTCTGCCACATTTATAACATGCAAACGACATTTCAGTATTGCTATTGCTTTGGCTGTGTTTATTCTTAAATTTTATTTCTTCATCCAGCAATCTAGCCTTTACAAAATCCATTTTTATGGCAGTGTTTATTGTCTCAATTGCAGTTATTACAGGTTGGTAATCTTCATTCAACGAAAGCAACAGATGGCATACCTTATCTTCTTCCTCCATCTTTCCTGAACCAGCATTTTCCAAGTCTTTTATTAGAGTATCAAAAATAAGAAAATGATCTTCTAATTTATCACCTCTTTTTAACTTTAATGTCAGTAACTTTCGCTTTAAAGTCAGCTTGGTAAATACACTTTTTCTTTCAAATACTCCTTCCAGTGCTTCCATCATTTCCTTGGCGGTTTTAGCATCTTTTACTAGATCCAAATGCTTATCTGTTAAACATTGTACAATTATGCATTTTGCTTTTGCATCTTTCAACTTGAATTCATTTTTCTTGGTGTCATCTGTGTAGTCATTTTCGGTTTTTTCAAGTGCCTCGGATATTTGTCGTTCATCTAACAGTGTATGTACCCTAAACTTCCAGTTGTTGAAGTTTGTAGAAGTTGTTAACTGTGGTAAATTCACCACTGAGCTACTCATTTTTTTTTTTTATTTATTAGCTTACTTTTTCAGCCTTAACTTCTTATGTTTCTTCTACTTCTCTGCTTGGCCCATAACCTATTACAGTATCTGGGGGGTTGATTTACGTCTTTGATGATAGAGAACTTCTAACTAATTACTTTAATCATTAATTTATTATAAAATATTAAACGTGAGTTACAAAACCATATATTTTTGTTACATTATTATATTAGGTTATGTTCTATTGCTAGGCGCTTTCGGCTTTCACTCTCAGTGCACTATATTACTCTAACATATTTTATTCGTGTTTTTGCTTTTCTTTCAGAATAATTTTTCTTTTGTATCTTTTTTATCAACATTGAACATCAATCGATAACCAATGTTTCAAAACATCGATATTTTTCAGTCGATATTTTTTTCACCCCACCGTTGAGGTTCAACAAACATGTAGAGGTGGAGAACTATCGATAGTTGGCACCATCGATAGTAATCGA